GCCACACACACACTCACACACACACACACGCACTGATTTCTCCCCTGAGCAACTGTCCGTCTGTCCAGGGCAAGAGCTCCGATGCAGAGAACAGGCGCGCACGCGCGCACACACACACACACACACACACACACACACACACACACACACACACACACACAGAGCTATTCTCTTCTCCCGTTCCCACACTGATCGGCAGCTCCGGAACAGCAGCTTGGTGCTACAGACAGAAGTTTACTCAACAGCATCCACCATGAAATGAATCGTTCATGTGGGACCCCCACCCCCCACCCCCCCCGGCACATTCTTCTTGCAGATCAGAGGCAGTAGGCATAATTTCAGGCGGCCAATTACTCCGTAGTGTCGCCACGGTCACAGTCTGACCGCTGGGGAGAAGGTCTGAGAAAAAGAGTCACCTTGGCACCGAAAACGCAAATCTGACCTGTGTGTGGAACCAAATTCCGGTGCCGTTCAGTACCTTTGGGGGCAGTGTTGACGCTAATGTGTAAGCACCAATAGTCCCTCCAGTGTTTCCTGTCTTCCTTTGGGTCTCCTCCCAGAAAACCTCATCAGGGAGGCATCCAGGAAGCATCCTAACCAGATCTACCTCAACTGGCACCTCTTGATGTGGAGGAGCAGCATATCTACTCTGAACCTCTCCTGGATGACCGAGCTTCTCACCCTATCTCTACATGACAGTCCAGACACCCTGACCCCTCCTTTCCACCGGCCGTGAAAGCGGCCGCGTAATGTAACAGCAGTGTTTACCCACAAGCCCATTCCCAACCAGGGGCAATTGAAATCCTAACCCACTCAGCTGATCCCATGATGTCACAAAACCACGAGAGACCTGCAACACCACGCGTGATTTTAGAAGTCCAAACAATGATGAGCAATGAGTAAGACAGCTGCATGCATCAAAAAGGTCTGTGGTTTATTTTTCTGTTACACTGGCTACGGAGGTTTTAACAGGAAATGGCGTGCGTTTACCTGCATGTGACTTTAATTTTGAAAGTTTTCAGATGTGTTTTACGCTGCTTTTGTGTTTGACTTCCTGTCAAGCGATCGAAGCTGTGGAATTTGACGTGTTTTGGAAGCGTAGTGCATAAAAAAATCCATTGAAGGCTGGAGATCATGTTCTGTTGAAGCCAACAAGTGTAACCAGGTGTCCCACTTTGTGTGGGACAGTCCTGCATTTTCATTACTTTTCTCACATCACACAAATCAAGACTATCCCGCATTATTGAGTGGAACTTTACCGCAGGTCCGGAGCGCGGGCAAGAGCCACCACAACAAAATTAAATGACAGGGTGAGCATGGAGGACAGAGAGGTGAGCAGGATGGATAAAACGCTGTTACGATAAAGGCGTGTGGGTTGAAGCTGTCATTGTGTCAGTTTCTCAGAGTCATTTCTTCATGTCACAGCAAGGACTCCAATAGGAAACGGTGCAGAAAATCTGAGAGCCACAAAAACATGTAAGTCAAAAGCAAGTTTCCCAGCAAACAGGTTCATGCTAAAACCCAAAGAAGATTCCAACACCGACAAGTGGCTGGGGTTGTTTTGTTTCACATACCTGCAAGCTAAACCCTTTTAAAACACGTTAGAGAAATGCTGGGAGAATTCATGTGAAGCATTGGTTCCTCAATCTCAGAACTGTGAGGAAAAAAGTCAGAACTCTTCAGATTAGATCAGACTTTTTTCAGAGATTAAAGTCAGTGATGTTTTTTTTCTCTTCCCTAAACATCTACTATAAAAGGTGTGTTGTCATTGTTGTCATTTTGTTTCTAAATTAAGAAGAAAAAAAATTGAACAAAAAGAATGGATATTTTTTTCAATGAGATGTTGGTATTGGTGAAAAATTAATTAAAAATGAACAGAAATGTATCTAAAAACATTACTAAATTACTAACATTACTGGTACTTTTACTGTCATTCTGTTGTGGAAAGTCAGTGCAAATATTATGCTATGTTTTTTTTCATGGTTGGCCTATCTATATTTTTTAAGAGTTACTTGTTTTAAATGTTAGCCAGAACCACTGTAGGAGGTCAACAGAACCTCAGTTAAGCTGTGGCAACTTGGGAGGAACTGGGAAATAGTAGGAGAGCTTTAGCTGTTTTCTTGTTCAAGCTAAATTCAAACAGAATACAGTATATTAAATATATGATGGTAATATGAAATGTATGGATAATTTTAGTCATGTTAGAGCTAAAAGACAGAATAGAAGTATTTATATATATATATATATATATATATATATATATATATATATATATTACTCCATTTTAACTTTATTTTGTTACATTGGAATTTCCTGTTGTCCCATATTGAGTAGTCTCTGTCTCACATCATCTGCAAAAAGCAGAGACCTGATCCTTAGGCCAACAAAACAGGTCCCCTCAACACCTGGGCTGTGCCTAGAAATCATGTGTATTACCTCTTTATTCCCTCAAAGTAAAAACACTATATATGAATTGCATTAACTCAAGATGGAAAGCAATAATAATCAAATTGAGCAATGCTAAAAACATTTAAATAAACTACATCCTTCTGACTAATGATCTTGCCACATTCAGATTCCTTTGTTTCAAAAACAAAATAAACAGTAGAATTCTGGAATTAGTTGACAACGTATGAAAAGCAAATCAAACACTGGTTCAGTCATTAATACCTTCAACAGCATCCTATTAAATGGGCAACAGTGGATCAGGAGTTAAGAGTTTGCCCTGTAATTGGTAGGTTGTTGGTTCAAACCCACACTCCATCCATGCCATTGTGTCCTTGGGCTAGAACTTCACCCTCCTTTCCTTCTGGTGGTGGTCGAGGGAACCGGTGGTGCCAATTATGTGGCAGCCTTGCTTCTGTCACTGTGCCGCAGGCTAGCTGTGGCTAAAATGTAGCTTATCACCAGCAGTGTGTAAGTGAATGATTAGTGTAAAGCACTGAGGGGTTATCTCACTTAGAAAAGCACTATACAAGTAGAGACCATTTAAATAAATACATGTCTTGTCTTTGAATAAACAGTAATAGGCTACGTAGATTTTAAATAAAGCACATCTTATCCTTGAATGTAGAAAATTAATTATATTAAAATATTTCAATTTAGGTCAGGTAGGTCAACCACTTGTTATAGCACATTACATATAATTGTGTTGAATAAATCAAACTCCAATGAATCAGAGCTAAAGGGCTGGAAGTTTGCCGTTAAAACGTGCGGTCGATAGTCGAATTGTAATCACTTTTGAGAACCTATACAAGTACTTTAGATACATGCGCCACCCCAATGCAAACTTTTGGTTTTAAGGTTGCTGGAAAAAAAAAGCTGGCAATAATTAATAATTGTTAATGAATACGTTTGGAAAAGGTATAGATATACAACCACACTCACATGCACTGAAATTCACTCAAGGTCTCTTTAAACACCCCCCAAGAACCTTGGTGCTACTCAACTGAGCCAAAGATGGAAATAACAGTATTATTGGCACGAAGATGGAAAGATGGAAAATTGACAGAGTAGTCATATGAATGTGCTCATTAGGAGGAGAAGGATGGGTGGCAGAAGGGCATCAATCATCAGAGTACAGTCAACTCACTGTGCGGCTTCCACACGATTATACACCACATGCACAAATACTCACATGCATCTTTGTATTTTTTTCATTCTTACTCAGATTTGTTGCAAGCAAAGCTCATCTATCAATGTTGACCCCCACAGGTTGTCAGGAACACTGCTCACACACCGGGCCCAGAATGCAATATCGTAGTTACAACCAAGCCAGTCTCATATAAATGCCTCCACCTGCCATCACTACACACATTCTTACCTTTATTTACATGGAATACGCTACAGGTGTTTGGTTTAATTTCGCAGTTGTTTGCAGATAGCTGCATTTGGAATCTGCTGAAGCCTAAATGGTGGTCATCTGTTAGGAACAACAACAAGTCCAATTGAATGTATAGGTTTTTGGGCACCTGTCCAAGTCTTTCCACTACAAACACAGCTGAGTCAGAACACGTTCAAACACGGTTGGGTAGTTTACTGCAAGATGCAGGAATGATGCTAAAAGTGTAGACTTTTTTTGTTTTCTTTTTCATGCATCATGTGCTTTCAGTCACTGACCGTATGACGCAAAGTCATTTTGGTTTTATTCTCTTTCAAATGACTAATTGGATGTCCTCCACACTTTTGTTGTTTGTCAAGATTTGGCAGGTTTCGCTGAGTTGACACAATATACAGAGTCAGATTGAGCCCAGTGTGTTTTATAATGGATTCTGCTGCTTTCTTGACTCACTACATGGAGAAGCAAGAAAAACGTCCCAATATTTGACTGGTAGCCTAGAATCTAAACCGATTACCTTTTTTCCTTAGTATCTTTATAAGATTTATTTTCTGATTACTCACTTCGATCTGAGAGGTTATTTTTGCTAATCATGACAGTAATTCTAAAACTAGTTACTTAAATGTTTGATGTAATGCCCAAACCGTTTTGAGGATTTTCCGACTATGTGTTTAATTAAACTACAAGTAATTTTTCTCCATCTGTATAACATCAGTGCAATTTTTGTCCCTTTGAGGCATTGTTTCTGGAAGCGGAGTAAATACTTGAAGTGCTGTAGGACTGTGTTGCTTTAGAAAATGCCCATATGCAAAGCCTCCTTCATGACACTGGCTAAGAGATTTACAGCACATTTCAGCACATGAAAGGAACCTCATTTTGCATTCAACGAACCTGCCTTCACCAGCCAGTCTTTGAACTTCCATTAAGCTATTTATCACCATGCTGTGCAATTCATTTCATTCTCCTCACTCTGAACATGGCTGCTTTCTCTTCTTTAGCTTCTGTTGACCCTGAATGTTGAGTTTACTCATGTGTGCACTGACTAGAATGTCATAGTTTAGCACACCCCCTGTTTTTCCTTCTTTCTTTTTTTTTTTTCATTTAGTATCACTGGCAAGCCTTTTTGTCTTTTCAAATATTCTGATCTCTTTGTTTTCTCCAGTTGCTCCAACTATCCATGAGATGAAGAGCCAAGGAGTTGGTTTGGGACGCACAGCCCTGCTTCGATGTGAAGCTATTGCTGTGCCTTTTCCGATTTTCGAGTGGCACAAGGGAGAGAAAAGGTGAGTCTAGTCTGGCTATTTGTTTTCTCATGTGACAGAATAAGTGCATAATTCTTTTAGATGTTTAATGGACGATAAACAGTAAACTATACCATCGTCATCCACATGAACAAAATATGCTCTACAGCTGGATTATTTTCTAAGCAGTTAAGAGCTTGCTTGCTCTTCTAAAAACTAGAAAAAATCCCCAGTGTGCTCCAGCTTTGCTTTATACATATTTTGGAAGTTTATGAAGCACTCAGCCCAGCCATTTACTGTGGAAAACCCTCCTTTTAACATGGAAGCTTGCTTTTCATAAGTAGTTCTGGTAAATGTGTTTTGATTTCTGCATTAACTAATAGATGACATATGTTGTTTTTATTTCTTTTATACAGATGTATTTTCCCACTTTTTTCCTTTTATTTGCGATTTTCTTTTTGTGACTTTTCTAAAACGACTTACTAGTTAAGGCGCTAGAAGCAGAGACAGCTGCATCTTCTCAGTGCTGTGTTTCAGCATCTGAGTCAGGTAGATAAGATATAAACATACTTTCTTACTGGCTAATTCACTGCCAGCAGGCCCGTTTCCACTATCAGAACTACCAGGTAACTTTACCAGACCCTCGCAGCATGCTCAAGTCTCAATTTCACCAAGCTGTCCCAAAAGGACAACTTTTCACGCTATTTCAGGGACCAACAAGTACCGAAACGGGAGTATGTACGTAGAATGGCCCGTAAGAGTTACTGGGTGGGGCTTGTGGTTAACACTTGCTGATTGGTTGTAACTCATTAGGATATCATATTGGCAGACATTAAAGCATCCAGCTTTTGTAAAATTGGAAGAGCTGCTGGTGAAGAAAATTGGAAGGAATGAAAAATAACACTTAAATGCTGAAAAATGTGGTGAAAATCCCCCCGCAACTCCTTAATTCACAGCGCTTTATGGCCACTGAATGCCACTTTTTATGCCGCAGCCACTCTCACAGTCCTCTGAAGGAATTAAATTGTAGCAGAATGTGACAGAATAACATTTTTAATGTTGCTAAGGTCTGTGGATGCCTTTTGGCGATGATTAGTGACACTGAAACGGTCTCGATAGTCTGACGTTTTAGCAAAGTCCTGGAAGAGCCGATGGCTGACGACTGAACCACAAGATTGTCCTTTCACCTTCCTCCCTTCCAGAAATTTCCAGGAACTCCTATAGTGGAAAGACAGCTTTTATTAACCCTTTCTGGTCTGATTATTAATACACCAAATACACCACTAGGTGAAAACCTCTGGTCCACACAGATTTACAATCTAGTCTGATCAGGAAAATTTCAAATCATTTCAGACTTTGACCATTTTTGTAGATAGGTTTTCAGTTCCAGGTGCATAGAGGTTTCTGTTAGACGATCTACTCATCCGGGTTGAAAAGTCCCCAGAAAGCTGTTTAAAAATATCCATACAGAAGTATTTCACAGAAGCCATTGCTCTACACGTTTCAGGACCATGCAGCTCAAATCTAGCATTTATGTTGCAGACAGAACAGTTTTTTTTTTGCTTGTATACTTTTTTTGTGGATAATGCACTACTAGTTTTTTCTCATTCCTCCAGGCTGCAGGGAAGGTCCACAAAAATCTTCTGGCGAGAGTCATTTGTGGCTTTTTTTCTCACCTTGAGGCCTAATAAAATGTTTGCTGGCAACTGGCTTAAATCATTTGCGACACATACATCAATCAGACTAGATTCAAGTGTCAGTTCTTGAATTTAAAAACCAAATTACCCCTATTACCCATCATTTACCCACTCCTGGTGAGCACAATTTCAATCATCAGCTCACACTGTGCTAATTGTAATTATGGGGTGGATTCAATTTATTCAAACAGCTAAGGAGGCTGGTTGGCATGATTGTAGTCTTTACTTAATTCAAGAACTCATTCCTTCTGTGACTTTTAGTTGGCTAAATTGTGATTTTTTTTCATCTGCTCATCACCATGAACAGAATATTGGTGTTAAGATTTCAGCTCAGAGCGTGTTTAGCTTCGTTATGGCATTAGCATTTTCCTTGCTGCCCGTTCACTGCGCATGGAATGAAAGTTGCTTTTTGCTCTGTGTTGATGCAGCCATGAACATTAACGCAGCTCTCCCTCTAGCTTGTCCCTATCAGATGTAGTGTGACAGTTCTGACAAGTAAATCTTTCCCTCGTTGTGTCACAGCTTTCATTCTTGAATGGAGGTGGGCGAGTGTTTATGTGTCTGTCTGGAGGGGTGGGGAGGTTTCTTTCACCATGACAGAGGAAGCATTGACTAGTCAGATGTTGGAGTGTGACGATGCAAAACACACAAACAACCATTTCGCCACAGTGTGGGAATTTTCATTTAGGTTTTATATGTTAGATGTTAATATTGGTTTGTTTCTATTTGATGTGTTTAACTTCCTGCTTCATTATTTCCAGGTTTAATGAACGCAATGGGGTTTTGTCCCATGCGCTGAAATGCTAACAGGCGCCTGTTTTATTCTCAGCTCAGCTGTATTTACATTGGTTGTGTCTTTTGTGTTCATCATGTAAAAAGGGTTTTGTCGGGAGGAGCCACAATTGCAAAAACTGTTTTTCATTTATTGCACCAATGTGGGAGACTATGTTGTAGTGTATGTTTTTGAGGCCTTGTGTGTGATGTCTGTGGGTAACGTTTGGGTTTTGAGCAAGAGTGAACGGTTTTGAGTGTAGAGCTTCATTTTTTTTATTAGAACATTTATTCTATTTTCATGGCAATGTAAAAAAGAACAAAAAACAACAACCAAAAATGCCACAACTATTTAACCTAACTTGAAAATACAAAGTTTGGGAAATTGCGTGGGATGTTATGGATTTGTGTTTTTCTGTTGTGAGAATACGAGGCATAGTTTCAAGAAATGTTTTAAAGCAATCGAGATAAACTGTAAGAGTCTCTACTTAGAAACAGACATAATGTGTAAGTCGGGCTACGAGTTGTCTGTGGCTGATTTGAAGCCAGTGAAGCTGGAGGGGGAGCGGGGTGATGTGGGTGTGTTTGGAGGGCTTGGTCAGAAGCCAAGCACAGGCAGTTTTTGGTGACAAAGACTTTTCATTTCAGACAATTTAGCCACAACATTACATTGGAATTTATCAAACCAAACATTATGATAGTTTAAATTATAGATTATATTTTTTTAACCAGAGGAAATGCTTATGTTGTAAAACTCTTTGCAAGGTCAACACAGCCCTACTATTTCACCCTCTCACCTCTGAACCACAAAACAACCAGGAACCCTTAAAGGCTGAATATGGAACAATTTAATAAAAAGCTATATATTTTCAAATATAATACCTCCATGGGATATTTAGAGGTGTGCAGAATGAAGTTACAGTATTTCGTTTAAAAGTTATATTTTATTTAAAAAATAATCTAATTTTTATTTTGATGGGCACGACGCTGGGTTTATGTTAACATCTACTAGACAATAGAGGGCACCGTTGCACACTGTCAAATATGGTAAACAGTCTGATCGGCTGGCTAGAGCAGCAGATCTACTCCAAACTCCTCCCATAAAATAAACTCATCAGTAGAAATTAGTGATTTCCCTGTACAATTCGTCACTGGACATGGGGCTGGATGGTTATTTCACGTATCGACAGCAAACCTGGCATCCCGACAGTTGGAAACCTCTTTCTATTGTTGCAACTACAACTTGGTGTTTTTCTTCCATATTAAATATCTTATCTTTGGTGCACAGTACAAACAAATAGGTAGGTTTAAGAGGTAGGAGCAAGGAGTAAAATAGGAATCGGTAATGTTTAGGAAGAGGTTTGAGGTTATTTTCTTACAAATAAGTAACATACATGGTTTCAGCTTAGAGCGCCTGTCAAAACAACTCAAGCTCAATCATAAATCACCAAAGGCCAGAGTGGAGCCAAAATAGAAACATTTCTTGGTCTTCTAGTATTTTGTTGTCCATGTATCCATATTTCAAACCAACGTGTAAACCACAGACCATAATAAACCCTAACAATTTCACACCATTCCTAGCATATGGCTTTACAGAGTCCTTTGTTGTTGTTTTTTTCACGAAAACCATCACCTTAACTAAAGTAAACAAAGGCATTTATTGATTTCACTGCACACATATCATGTACCACTTTAAATAGAGCTGTTATAATTGTGCACACCTGCAACCAAACAGAGTAGAGCATGTCAAGTGACAAGCCAGCTGCTTCACCTCTGGGTCACTTCTCTCTCATCAACGTCCCTCAAAGCATCTCTCCAGAGCAGACATCACACACCAGGGGATAAATAGATCAGCTGAAGAGGGTGATGCAGTACTGTAATAATGAAAATCCACTTAAGATGACATTTGCTCCCTCCTTGACTCATGCCACTTCTCCCGTGACACGTTGGGCGCAGGTGAGAAATCAAAGCCTTTGTTTGTGTTGTTCTTTCCAGGATTGTGAAAGGCCAGGGCATCGACATCAAGAACCTCAGCACCAGATCATTTCTCACGGTGAACAACATGACAGAGGATCGTTACGGGAACTATACATGCGTCGCCACAAACAAGCTAGGATCAGCTAATGCCAGTGTGCCTCTCATCCGTAAGTTGTCATTCTACCTGCTTTGTGGCTAAATGGAGGGGTGAAGCAACAGAAGGCTGGAAGTGTTGCCGGTGTCAGTGAAAGGTTTGTGCACTGCAACCAAGCTAAATCTAGTCCAGCAACTCACAAATCACTGGTAGAGTTCCTTTCCTATTTCTTTTCCAACAGCTTTGTAAATCTGTTGTCTGCTGAGGTTGCAGAGTCTGTGTGCGTGTGTGTGTGTGTGCGTGTGTGTGTGTGTGTATGTCTGCTTTTTAAGTCTTTATTTGTGTGTGTACTGGATGAAAACACCACCTGAAAAATAATTTTTGCTTGGAGGTAATGACATCATAATTACAAGGAGAGCTGAGCGGGTTAGTAATGGTACCTTGAATACCAAGTAGCATGGCACAGCTCTTAAAAAAGGGTCTCTGACTCAGCCCTTTTATAGTTTTCTAAGCTTTCTGAGTTCAAAAGAGGCCAAAACATCAAAAGCCAAACTACGGGTGCATCCGTGAAACTCTGCGCAATTATTTATTGTCGTTAGATCAGTGTTCTTGGGGAAATAATAGAAGAAGTGCTGAAACACAACACAAAATCTAGACAGAAAAAAACGTCCAGACAGTGGTGCGAAAAGAGTTTTACGACCCATCAGAAAGCAAGTACAGATATGAGATATTATTTCACAGCCATAGAAGTGTTTATTTAATCTTGTTGTGACTACTGCGAGTCACAGAAGCAGTCCTCTGATCTAAAAGTCATTCAGAAGGACTTGTTTTGACACAATGTTGATATATTTTTCTCTAATTTAGCATGTTAAGCCTTTTTTGGTGGAGATTTTTACCCTGTACAAGTAAGCTGAACATGTTTTGATTTAGACGTGTTCGTTTTCTTTTAGATCAATGGGTTTTGTGCCTGAACAGTTCCTCATACCTTTGTGCTGAAGGCTTTAGTGGAGGTTTGTGGAGGAGTTGACAGCACCATCACATTGGATTCATGCCTTCTTGGGGAAATTATTCGAGAATTAATCAAACCCTTTAGTAAAATATTGAATTAAAGGAGACATCTTATGACATTATTCTTTACATTTTAATCATTCTATGGTCTAAACAATACATGTTTAAGAAGTTATTTGCACAAAATCCCTCTCACATGAAATTTTGTAGTTTTATTTTATAGATTTTCAGTACGTTCCAGAATGAGCCGTTTCAGAGCTCTGTCACTTTAACAAAATAAATCAATAAAGCAGTTTCTGGCCGCTCCCACCTACCCCCCACTAGGAGCCTAAGTCACACCCATCTACCTTCTGACTATGAGGAAAAATGAGTGCATGTCAATGGGGCTAAAAATGTTATTTTCTAGTCCTGCTTGTTATGTGCCATGGATTTCACATTATGTCCGTGAATTTTAAAGACACATTTTGATGCTAAGAAAGCACTTATTTTGAAAGGGGGCAAAAGGTTTTTTTTAGGTTTTGTGTGAAAATAAGTCCAGGACTGCAAATGTGCATCATAAGGGCACAGAAGAAGCTAATCTGGGACCTGTTACCTAAAGGCTGTTGCCCATGCAAGGAGTTTAGTTTATAAGTTTATGTTGTCTGTGCTTAAAAAGGCTTCGAAATGAGAGTAGAAGTCATCAATGCAACCAAAATGTCAATATAAACTCTTTGCTTTGTATTGTAGCTATGAGGTTTTCTGAATTCAGCATGGCCCTGCAAGAAACAGGTACTGTACACACGCCTGCTGGGCTTAGTCATCACACTCTAACAACGTCACAGTGATTCTAGTGGCTGATTGAGTTCATGCATCATCAAAATCAACGAAAACCCTGGCCTGGCAGTTTGATGCACGGGGAACAAGCTTAGAATTAAAAATGGAACGACAGAGCTGCAGGTGGAGCTGATGAATGAGCATAAAGAACTTGTAAACAAAAGACAAACGATTGTTTTCTTAGTCCATATAAAGCAATAACAAGTCATGTTTGGAATTTGTCAGAAAAAATAAAAGTTTATTAACCACTGGGTCAAACATCATAGTGGTTGGGTGGAACATTGGGGGATTCTGTTGAACCTTTCTGTTTCCATCTGTAGCAGCACTTTATCCGCTCAACCCAGCTGTCAGTCGAGAACGTCTGTGAAACCACCAGGTGTAAAATGGTTACTGGTGTTGCTGGTGATCCTCAGCTTTCCAGCTGGGTGGATGTGGCTCTGCACAAAATCAATGCCTCCAGCACGACCTCAATAGCCCCGATTCTCCGAGTTTGTGCACTGGAACACCAACACGACAAGCTCTTTACCTTGGCCCACCAGTCCACCCAACAGGCTGTAACTCAGGCTTTATCTGTGCTGAGCATCTGCCTCAAAATGTCCACTTCATCCTGCACAAGGAGCTTCAGTTGTTCTGCAAATTGTGACACACACTTGTTTCAACAACTCTGCATAATTAGGATGTTTTCATCATAATAACATAAAGATTGGGATCATCCTGTACAAATACTACTTTGACTCATTAGGTCAAGGTTTCAACGCACTGAACACAGCTGTGGCGACCTGTTGTAAAGCTGTATAAATATAAAATACAAAGGCATTATGTCATGCTCTCAGCACAATTTTTACCAAAGGACAATGTCATATTTATGAAATGAAGTCAATTTTTTCCCACACATCTTGCTAAAAATTAATAAAATTATTCAAAAAGCTAAATTATTTTACTAAAGTATAGAAATAATGACAGAGCTTGTTTTAAAACTGCATGAGACATGCACTAGGATGCCGCTGCAGCAGGTGACTTAAGTGACCAGAACATAATTAAGACAGAAATTTATGACAACAATCCAGACCCGATGTGGCTTTAGCGGTTTCCCCTCTGAGACACATTTCTGAGCTTCCATAATGACATCACATACATTCAGGCTGAAACCTTCTGGTTTTTAGTTGTAGTGAAGCTTTTGAAAGCTGCTAACAAGCTAAATTGTGGCTTTTATGAACCATTACAGGATAATTGTCACCCTGCAGATCTAATCAAATAGGATAAAAGCTTTGTATTGCTTCACAGCTTAAGAATGTGCTCATTAACAAGGACTTCAAGTTTTTTTTGGCGCACAGACCTCCCCTAAATACTCATTTTCAATCAATCAAGAGATTAGATAGGTCTACTTAGCATTTATCTCTAGTCTGCACACACTCACAAGATTTTTTTATACATTTTAATATTTGAAATTTATACATGTGCATGTTTTTTCCGTTATTTTATCCACCTTTTGGATCAGTTAAAAGAAAACAGCAACAGACTGTAGAGAATAGTTTTACCGTGTGCTTTAGAGTGAAAGGAGGTGAAACTATTTCATTTAATGTATTCAGGGATGAAATATGAAAAGGTGAATTAAATGATTTACTGGTTTTTGTTGCTCTCTCTGATGATAACGTTGTCCCTAGTAGGCCAAAAACTTAGAATACAGAAAAAAAATAATGTATGTAAGTACAGTTGGCTATTGTCAAAGGAGTGCTCCACTCCTCTGTTTGCATATGCACAAAGAACATCAAAGGCGTGTCTCAGATTCTCAAATGGATGATTTTAATGTGACACAAGCACAGACTCAAAGGCAGAACGTCAAAGAATAAAAATACGTAAAACAGAGGAAGAGGACACAGCTGAGCTGCCACCATACAACGTCCCCCCTACTTAGACTCCATTTGTTTAGATCTGTTTGTCTCTATCATTTCTGTCTGATTCTCTTTTTATACTCATGTCTCCCCTCTTCCTCCGTGTCACTCATTCTTTCTCCGTGTTACACAAATGGACGTAGCCCTTCCTTTTTCTACTCCCATGATCTTCACTAATGGAGGAGAGGCCAATTCTACTGTTGTTGACAATAAATTTCATTTGGTCAGTGCTGCACAGCTCACCATCTCACAGCTCACCATCACACAGCTCACCACCACTCAGCTCACCACCACTCAGCTCACCACCACTCAGCTCACCTCCACTCAGCCCACCATCACACAGCTCACCACCACTCAGCTCACCATCATTCAGCTCACCATCACTCAGCTCACCATCACTCAGCTCACCATCACGCAGCTCACCTTCACACAGCTCACCACCACTCAGCTCACCACCACTCAGCTCACCACCACTCAGCTCACCACCACTCAGCCCACCATCACATAGCTCACCACCACTCAGCTCACCACCACTCAGCTCACCATCATTCAGCTCACCATCACTCAGCTCACCACCACTCAGCCCACCATCACACAGCTCACCACCACTCAGCTCACCACCACTCAGCTCACCATCATTCAGCTCACCATCACTCAGCTCACCACCACTCAGCTCACCACCACTCAGCCCACCATCACACAGCTCACCACCACTCAGCTCACCACCACTCAGCTCACCATCATTCAGCTCACCACCACTCAGCCCACCATCACACAGCTCACCATCACTCAGCTCACCACCACTCAGCCCACCATCACACAGCTCACCACCACTCAGCTCACCATCACTCAGCTCACCTTCACACAGCTCACCACCACTCAGCTCACCATCACGCAGCTCACCACCACTCAGCTCACCATCACGCAGCTCACCACCACTCAGCTCACCACCACTCAGTTCACCTTCACACAGCTCACCACCACACAGCTCACCATCACGCAGCTCACCATCACGCAGCTCACCATCATATAGCTCACCACCACACCGCTCACCACCACTCAGCTCACCATCTCACAGCTCACCATCACACAGCTCACCACCACTCAGCTCACCACCACTCAGCTCACTATCATATAGCTCACCACCACTCAGCTCACTATCTCACAGCTCACCATCACACAGCTCACCACCACTCAGCTCACCACCACTCTGCTCACCACCACACAGCCCACCATCACGCAGCTCACCATCATATAGCTCACCACCACACAGCTCACCACCACTCAGCTCACCATCTCACAGCTCACCATCACACAGCTCACCACCACTCAGCTCACCACCACTCAGCTCACCATCATA